GCCACAGTAGAATGGTCATCTATTTAAGAATGCGACTGAATTTTCATCATAATTAATTACACAATTTTATATCCTAATTTAGTTTTCACATTTGCCTATGTATTTATGATTTATTCTAAAGCACAGTACTTGTGGTACTTTAATCTACATTTCCTACAAATCACATAATTGAGGGGCAGATTAGATTTTTCAATAAATCTGGAACAATTTTTATAATATTTAGAAAGATTTGAAAGAATAGGTTCAATAGGACATAAAGGCCAAAGGCTAGTTTTGTTACTTTTTCCAGTGGAACAAATGTTTTAGAGAGATGAGTGATGTAGGGGGTAAAATAATATTTTCATATAAATAACATTTCTGCTTCTGGAAATTAGATATTCGCCTGTTACTGATTTTAATTTCAGTTACATAGGCCAATATAAATTGAATCAAATCAAACACCATTTACATACATTATATAAATAAACATGAAACCAGAAGGCAACATGAAGAGTTATCTAGAAAGCAGATATCACTAACTTAAAAATACCCACAAAACATCTCTATAAGCTTTTTGGAAATATGACATTTTACCTTACTAGGGCCAATCAGCTAACTGTGCAATTGTGCAAACAAAATGTACATGTTTGCCACAGGAAATTTCTACTAGCATTTAAATTATTACAAAAAATATCCATTATCTGAACAAACAATTGCACCTTAGCACACTCTGGGAAATTAATTTGTTGAAAATTCACCCCCAGTATAAAAGTGTTCTATTGTCTCCCAAAGTTAATCAAGCAAAGGGTAACTTAGAAGAGTAGTACAAGGCCATACTTTAATCTTTAAAGAAGAGTCACATTTTTCTCAGCACACTATTCTACAAGTACACAGAGAATTTTGTGCCGCTACACATAAAATTAAGTGCATATGAAGATTGAGCCAAATTCTGCTCTCGTTTAAAATTGTTCAACACAAGTGTAAAAGCAGAATTTGTCCCAACATATAGGGCCAAAACTTCAGCTGGTGTAAATCAGCATCCCTCTCTACTGACTTTAATGGAACTATGCCAATTTACACTAACTGGGGATCTGAAAGCACTTGTGGAGGTAATATCCTAGTGATCAGTTATGGAGCCATGTGATAAATTAACTTATCATGAGCCTTTGACTACCTAACCTGCCCTCAGCTCTAAATAGCTCATTTAAAATAAGTGAAGTAATCAGCTATCCAAAGAAATATTTTTTTTTAAATGCAGAATTTCCTCCAAGAATCAACCCAACCCAAGATGCAGGAAGGCCAAGATTTCATACTGGGCAGTGACAGTTCTTCTGTAAATAAGAGTACCATGGCTTTAGTGCATGTGTTCATGTGACCCCGCACTGGCACAGAAATCTGAGATGATCAGCTTTCAGAAGGGACGCAGGCACCTGCTTCCAACCCTGGAAGGGCCCAAGATAATGAGTTAAAAAGCCTTTTATATACTGAAAAGCTATGTTAGGGCATAGTTAGAGGTTTTTATGGTTCCTCTGAGCTCTGGACAGTTGGGTTCATGGTAAATAAAGCACTTGGCTTTACAGGGGGGAGGATACAAAAAATAGCTCCAAAACTTTCTAAAATATTTGAAAAATAGTTTTTTTTCTGTAACATGTGGCACTTGCAGAACATATCATGATATGCTGCAGTATGACATTTTTATTGGCACTTGTTTGGAATGAGCAACATAACTCCCTCAAGAGAGCCTATCCCAAACTCATGTTGACAAGACGTTATATAAACACCACACCTTCACATAATCTAGGTTTTATACCTCCACCCACGCTGCTTCAAGCACAGGAACAGCAAAAACCCCTCTTCCCAGAGCATCAAGCAGCTTCCTCCTTAGCACAGATTCTTCCCACTACCTATGTAAATTTAGGTTGGACATTAGGAAAAACTTCCTAACTCTTAAGGTGGTTAAACACTGGAATAAATTGCCCAGGGAGGTTGTGGAGTCTCCATCATTGGAGGTTTTTAAGAGCAGGTTAGACAAACACCTGTCAGGGATGGTCTAAATAATACTTAGTCCTGCCATGAGTGCAGGGGTCTGAACTAGATGACCTGTCATGGTCCCTTCCTGTCCTATAGGGTAAGTGACCTGTGTTTTGGATTAGTTAGGCACCAAAATTGTGCCCAGTCAGGCCAGAATACATGTCATTTCCCAGACAGACTGGGATGCTGGAAGCATCACAATTATTCAGTGAATTAGTATAATGTATATTCTTGCTTGGACTTCTTATAAATATGCCTTTTTCTGAGTCCTTGAGTTCCTGTTTTATCAGTCATGCTTTATAATCCTATTCTCATTCCAAACAAACAATAATTTGAAACATGTTTACTTTCAAAACTTTTACCCTCCCAAAAATAGTGTTCAAAAAAGTGTACAATGATGAATATTGATACAGTGTAATTGCTGCTAGTTTCATCACAAATAAATCATTTCTAATCTGAATTAAAAAAAAGATCAAAAGTAATATCAATCGTGCTGGCCAGGGAGCGAAAGGACATTCCCAGACATTAACTGCTTTCCAAATAGGAAAAACATATTAAATATCTCTCTTATAACAAGATGTTTTCCTCATGTTTCCTTTGGGGGAAATCTGTTTAGTGCATTCCTCTCCATGCTAGGCTTTGGCACTATAAGCCAGGTTTGTCATTCTTCCATCTGCAAAGGGCTGGCTGCTGGGAGGCTGCCAGGTTTACTGTGATATCACTCACTGAACCAAGACTAAGCATGTTAAGCACAGGGCAAGAATAAGTAACAAAAGTAAATATATGGAGTTTATACAGTAAACTCACTAATGTACATAATATGTATATAAAGGAATATTTAATCTTCCAACAGGTAAATGTTTGCACAATTATTCACTTTGGGGGGAAAAACATTGAAAAAGAGAAACATTTTAGCATGAGAAATGTATAGGATTAGAACTAAACTTCTGGGTGCTCTACAATTTCTACGGTTTAAATTTCTTTCCATACCACTAAGGCCATCTGTATCTGCAATTATGAGTAAAACAATAAGGTTTTAAAATAAATCTTTCCTAAAGCTGCAAATTGTTATGGTGCTTAAAAGAAAACATTCTGAATGACTTGTTTGTTTCTGGGCAGAGATATCTCATGAGCAATAGATGTGGGTGGCCAAATACATTTAAATGCCAGTGTTGTGCATAGGCTTTCTATGGAGAGGTATATTAGTGCACAATAATGCAACTCACATTTTATGACTACAGAAAGTCCCTGTGTTACTGCTATGATATCTTTCTCACATCTTTTTTACTATGCCTATATCACCAGGTCTATACCACTGATTATGTCTGTAGCAGTCAATTTTTCCATATAAACATCCTCTTCGTATCAAGCTTTTACCACCTACACTGTTCCACTTCACTTCTTTTTAGCATTACTAACTACTTCAATGAGACAACTGCTACTAAAAACCATGATACTGTAGCAATCATTTGGTTCTGTGCACACATTTTAATTTCATGCCCTACAGGGGGGAATCACTATCAGCCTTAAACAAAAATTGAGTCTTTAATGTTTTATTGTTTTTACACATTTTATCTTCAACAGTGTATTTACTTCTTTTAAAAATTCTGCAATTGGAGCTACCACTTGGCTTGCATTGAACATATATAAGGAACATTCAACCTCAAAATCTGAAACACACAAATAATTCCATGACAGTAACAATACAAAGAAGATGAAATTGTCGAATGATTTCCTCTTATCCACATCTAGTTGTCATCATAGCACAGTTGGAGCTAACATGTTGTGCAACCTTACAGCAATCTCTGGAAGGGAGAATCACTACTTGAGATCACAGAACTAGATGGTTTTTATCACAGCCTGTAATTTACATCCTTACAGGAATGGGGGTAGAAGGAAGAGAAAAGCAATGAAGCAGTGAAACTAAGAAAATATAATCATGGTTAGCCTCAAACCTGGTATATGAATTTTGTTTTCCTTTTACACAGGCATTTTCATGTTGGCAAAAGCAACTGGTGAAATGTTGGTCTTTTTTTGTTTCCCCTGTGTACACATTAAGAGCTAAAAACCATGAGTCAGTGGAAGTGAGCTGCCCTAGGCACAGAACTTACAGTAGCACAGCACTATTAAATCCAGCAATTAGAATCTATTATTAGGACCTAGAGAAGGGAAAAAATGATGACCAATGGTGTATGGTGACCATCCAAAAAAAGCCAGCAAACCATTAAAAACATTCCTTCTGTCTGAGACCTTTTCTATAAATAAATTCCTTTTTTAAAATTTATTTAACATGTTTAAAAGAAGTATCAAGGACAAATTAAAGTTTTCTTCCAATAAAGGCATTTTTTGAATTATATTTACAGCCCAGACTTTTCTGCCCTCTGGTGGGGAAAAATACTGAATGACAACAGGACAATACTAAAGGTTTAATTATATAAATAGCATATGTCACAGACTAACCCTATCTTCTTTTTAGTGAACCTAATACTTTGCTTATGTACCACACTTATATCATGGTACAGTGTAAGAATAGGCATTTATTAAAATGCTTGACTTTTTACAGGCCATTTGCATTGCAATATATAAGCAGCTGTTTACATGAACAATCGAACTTTGGACAGATAAGTTTAAGTACCTATTATATTTTTGGATCTCTCATATGACTGACTACCCACACTTTTTATATGGTAGACACATCAAAAGATGTGTAATTAAACAACACAGAAAAAGTAAATACTATGTATCTTGCGTAACCCTTCCAATGCAGTGGAATGGCTGACCAGTTTCTGCAGTAGACTGATGGGTGAATGCAGGCCAGCTGAAATAAGCTAATGCAATGTTGTTGTTGTTTTATGTATTTATTTATATTCAATTTAAACCTACCTAAGAGTTCCCACCCAGTGTATATATTTTGGCACTCCCTCTTCCCTCTCCCTTATTTGAGCTGAGTTAGAGTTTCTCACTACAAATGGGAAGAGATTGATGTCAACATGTTCTCCATGAAAGATCTTCCACTCTGGAATTTACTTCCCATCTGCTGATCCACCAGAGCCTGGATCTTGAAACACTCCAGAGTTCATTTTTTCCTTCCATGCACTTAAGGCAGGAATATATAGAATTTGGTGTACATACAGGATGAGCAGCTTTATTATTTGTGAGCAATAATTAGTAAATATGTAAAATAGCATAAGAGCTCTCAGAACATGGGATGGATGCTTCTTGATTGACAAATATCTTATTGATAAGAGAATATAAATGAAATACAGGGATCACACCAATTCTTTGTTTAGTTGTACCAATTTGTTTTTATTTTATGCAGGACCCAGAAATCCTGTTTTAGTTGTTGGCATCTTTGGGATACATTCAGATTTTGTATAAATTTATTATCCATCATCACAAAAGCACTCACATGCTTCAATGATGAGCACCGCAGAAATCCTTCTAAACAAACAACAGATGAAGAGGATAAGAATACTGCAAAATAATAAATCTTGTTATGGGAATTATGACATTATTGTTCTTTGGAAACCACCTTAAAGACCAAATATGTTAATGCATTATAAGCACTTGGGCCCTGATTCAACAAAGCCATTATGCATGTGCTTGAAGCATGTAAGTAGTGGCACTGCCCTCAGTGAGGCTACTTAAAAGTTAAGTACATGATTTAAGTGCATTGCTGAATCAGGGCCTTGAGCGCTAACACAATTTATAAAAGTTCTTTAAAATTAGCAGGTAGGGTATGTGTACTATCTACTTGATTATAACCACATGTTCTGGAAGACCACTCACTGTTCTCAGTTTTCTGCACTGTCTAGGCAGAATGAAGCAAATTAAAGGTGTACACCTGAAAATGTATCAAACAAAAGACTATTTAAGATCCTAAATAGATAAAGGAACATATTGTGTATATATAGACTCAGCCATTACAAATATTTAAATATTAATAAACAAAACAAAGCATATTCAAATAAATTCCTCCCTGGCTTACCTGCCAAGACCCAAATTCAAAGTTCTGTTTCCTCAGAAATTCATGACATTCTAAACACCTAATAAATGGAAGCAAGCAGAAAAATGCTTTGCTGTAGGTTCTTTATGTAGAGTTGCTGTCTGTTGTTAAACAGCTGCCGCCTTCCGCACCAAATATGGAAGCCGAAATCCAAAGATACCCTTACACATCCCACATGGGTACTGAGAGGTTACTCGAAGTTTGCAAATATTTTGATCCTAGCATTAAAAGCACTACAGAAGTTTGCCTTGCATCATTTTTAAAGATGATGCGTCTCCTCACCTCTGAATGTACTTGGTTTTCAGGGTTTAAGTCAGACCTACAATGTTTCAGAATGTGTTCTTTTCTATTTTAATTCCCTTTTTGATGGTATTATATTGAAAAAGGAAAAACTCTCAGCATATAGTCCATAACAGGTCTAGAGGAATTGTTGTTTACTGCCATACTTTGTACATTAATATTTGTAAATATACCACATACTTATACAGTCCTAAAATAAGTACAGCATTTGAAGAAAAAAATCAAAAATACTTTCAAATATAATTTTAAAAAACTGCTACTAGGCAAGAGTCCCTGCAAACGATATTTTCAGCTTTTATCCTTTTATGCTGCCATTAAGCATAAAAGGAGTGGCATATTTAAATCCGTGTACATAGCATATCTAATGGGCACAATTATAAAACTGGAAAAATAAATAAATAAAATTAAGTGAGGCAATACTAGTCTTCTCCATAACATTTGATTTTGCCATGAGTAGACTGGAACCTCCTAAATGACAGACAGACACCCCTGCTTCCAGTAGTATTTAGATAAGCACATACACACGGCATGCCTACAGGCTATTGTTTTTCATTTGTATTGCCAATCCTCTCGGTTGATCTACAACTAACCAACCAAAATAAACAGACTTAACTTTCCAGCAGGTCTCAAAATGAACCAGTAAATTAAATTCCTATGTCACAAAAGGAAGCACAAAATGTCTAGGAACAAATAAAATAATTAAAATTATATCAACACTTTTCCCCCCCAAGAATGGAAATTAACTATATCAAGACAAGTTCTAAGGCAATGCTTTTTGGAAGCTAATGATACAGTCCCAAAGACATCCAACATAATGCACATAATACCACATTGCAACGTCAATTAAGAGAGAAAGTCTGGACTAATAACAGAACATGTAAAAAAATCAATTTAGACATTTTAAAGATATTAGAAGAAAAGTTACATATTCAGAATGCTGTTTTACCTAATGCACCCTCATCTTCCCTTCAACTCCCCAGCTATTTCAGGCCTTGATCCCTACAGAGCTTTGCATTAAAATTGGAAGTTGCAGCAGACCCAGCCAGGCAATCTTGTACCTCTTCTACACAGCATAACAACTGTACCAAAATTTTTGTATGATTGTCTTGATAGATAGAGAAAGGTCTAACAACAACCTGGATCAGACTCAATGTTATAGTTACAGTACTTCTAAATAAATAGGATTTCAACCCAGGTCTCCAAAAGTTACTTAGTTATTGAAGTATCAGAGAGGTAGCAGTGTTAGTCTGTACCCACAAAATCAACGAGGAGTCCGGTGGCACCTTAAAGACTAACAGATTTATGCATCTGAAGAAGTGGGGTTTTTTACCCATGAAAGCTTATGCCCAAATAAATCTGTTAGTCTTTAAGGTACCACCAGACTCCTCGTTGTTTTAGTTATTGAAGAATCACCCTATTGTTAATATCTCAAATCCATATTGACAATATGTCTGGAGATGCTGATTTTGCTCTTGTGGATCCAAACTACTTTGATTTTTCTGAAAGGAAATCAGAACTCCTTTAACACATCATAATCATATCCTGTTCTCATAGCCAAATATTCCTTTGGGTATTGAAGAACTGAAAGAGACCCATTTGGATTTTTCTAAACAACTGCTGGAACAAATAAAACATTATATAGAGATAGAAAATAAAATAGTGTCCCCACCAGTTTAGAAACCGGCATATTTCTCTCCAGCATCTATCAAGCAGCTCTTCAGTACATCTGTCTCTAGATAAATAATAAAGATAGGTTAGGGTCAATTCACATTCTAAATTTCCAAAACAATTTAGATCCATCAGCTGGTAGATCAGCACATTGGGCACTGACTGTCCTTTTGGTTCATTTAAAAAAAAATAGGCTTGCTTTTAATTGTGTAATACAGATTAATTGCTTTCCAGCAGATAGAACAATGCTCGTTGTTAAATGCTGAGTTCCTTAGAAGAAGCTAATTAGCTTCTGAGTTAAATTTAGTTCCCTCTCAAATTTGTCTGTCATGTGACAGGGAAAGAGTTTGTGAACTTTTTTCAGCATTCAGAGCTTTATCCCCAAAATATCATATTAACGATGCCCCTGATAGCAAGTTGTATTTACTTCAAGTAAAAATTAATATGTCACATCCTCATAACAAATATCTCATTATAAATATTAATAAGGCCCTATCATGAAGGAAAATCCAGATTTCCATCTTCTGGCTGATGGACACAAGAGGTTGAAGATCAAATGCTCAGTATACTTAAGAGAATACATAAGTCATTATCGGTAATCCATTTCCATATTAAACAAAAGAGACATTAAAAAAATCATACAGTGAAAGGGCCTCTCTCATAAAACTTATGGCCACATCTGCAAACTCTTCTAGCTCGAATGTAAAATAGCATTGCATGTTGAAACTTAGCGCAGTAGGGCAGCTTCATTTGCCTCCACTGCCCCCATATTACTATTATTAAACTCATTACTCCATAAAGCACTGTGGGTGCTCAAAGATACATTCTGGGTCAATGTGATGTTTCAATAATGGTACAAACGCTCCTATGCAGGAGACCAACAGCTGTCCTGCAGTCTGTTCCAAGCTCCCAAGGCAGGCAAGGATTGGACATTCAAAGGCAGCATGCACATCCCCTAGACTGATAGGAGAACTTCACATTGCTCTAGTGACTCTCTTGAATGATGCACAGATGGCAAAGACTAGCTCTGTAGGAAGCAGCCTCCAGCCCTCCTCAGCCAGGAGGGAAGATCACTATGATGCAGGCTCTTTCAAAGACAATGAGTAAACAGGGAAAGTTAAAGGGTCTAGGACAATTTCTAAAAATATTGGCCAAGATTCTCAGCTGTAGTCATAGCGTAGCTCTGACCCTCTTTAAACTAAAAAAAGGGACATTACAGCAGGTTCACAACTAAGGTTCTGACAGGTCTATCCTGTGCATAGTATGTACATATCATTATGTAGTGATTTCTGCAACTAAATGCCATGTGAGAAAACAGACTAGGATAGGATGTTGCTGCATCAAAAGGTTGATACACCCAACCCAAATTTAATATTGAGGACAAAAATATTGTGATGCCCTTCAATTGAAGAAACAGCACAAGGGCAAGATCACATGGACTGTGTCTCACAAACATCATATGGGGAGAAAACATATATGGGTAATAAAGGGTTCCTTATTCTAGCAAAGAAAGGCATAAACAAGGACCAATGGCTTGAAGATGAAGCCAGACACATTAAAATTATAAATTAGGCAGCAATTTTTAACTGCAAGCTATTATTAAGGTTGCCTGACACTTCCCATCATAAGACCCTGTTTTCAGTTACTTATAACGTTGCCAGACTTTAACTGTTTGGGCTGAAATTTTCCATGCCCAGTTCCTGCCTCAGACTGAAGTTTTTCAGTAATTTTCAGCCAAAATTTTTCAGCCATTTTTAAGAATGAGGTTAGGGAGAAATATATTGTTTTGTCCATGTTAAAAAAATTCTTAAGACCTTTTTCTTTGAAAAGCTAGCTAGCACCTCCATGCTTTGGGTCAGGGACTTAAAATTTGGCAGAGGGAGGTGGCTTTTAAGTTAGAGGTGTGCCTTTTGCCATCCTTGTGAAAATCCACCCAAATCTGGCTAAAGCCTTTGAAAAATTGCTGTTTGCACATGCTCACTAGAAACCTGATTGAGTTTAACAATTTAAAATCTCCAAAGTTTCCATCCTCAATGAGCATGTTTCAGCATTTCACAGCTGATAGTGCTACCAGACTGCACATGCACCATCTCCACAGAGCAAATGAACATGCTCCATCCCTCACAGTTGCTACATATGACTGGGCTGTGCATATGTGCCAGTCCCACAGAGTGACTGAACAGCATGCTCCACACCAGGGCTAGAGGGACTCAGAAGGATTTTCCTTGTGATGGCTGCTGTGGGTTGGGGAGATGCAGGCTAGGCACCAGAACGGATGAACCATGTGGGTGTCCATATGATGCCACATGATGGAATTGCTGGGGGTAGGGGGAGGTTCAGTTTGCTTTTAAAAAAAAAATCTAGGAAATTACACACACACACACACACACACACACACACAAAATAAGTAAAAGAATATTAAGATTGCAAAGTCAAGCACTTAAAAGCTAGGAAATGCCCGAATTAAAGTTGCCTGTGCAACCTTAATTTGGTCCCCTTTTACCAAATGCATTATGACACAGTTTTTACTTACATGATCAAGAATTAATCATGGTTGTATAATAAAACAAGCTGTTGTCTGTAGCACCCCTGCCTTTTTTGTTGCAGAAGCTGGGAAGTGTGTAGTGAATGAGGCAGTGCATTGCAGGAAGAGAAAGGGGCGTCTCATGGTTAAGACCTCTGGATGCTGCCTTGGAGAATTGGATTCCATCACTGCAGCTAACAGTTCCTGTGTGATCCTAAGTAAGTCACTTAAACCAAATTTTTCCACAGGTGATAACTAATTATATGTTCCACATTTTCTGGATGTCCAATTTGAGGGGGCCTGATGTGCAGAAGTGCTGAATAGTCACAATTGCAACGGACGTCAACAGGAGCCAGGGCCGTCCTTACCCAGACGCAAAGTCCGCAGTACAAATTTCCTGGTGCCCTACACAGCTGCGTGCTGTTCCAGCCCCTGTCCTGCCTCTTCCCCCGGGCTCCCCCTGCTCCACCCAACCCCTGCCCCCACTTCACCCCCTCCCCAAAGCCTTCACCCCAGCCCGCCTCTTCCCGCCCCTGAGGACTACAGCAGGGCTGGGCCTGCATTCACCAGCGGTGGAAAGTGCAGCGGCCCGGCCCCAGCTGTGCCACCGGTGAGTGCTGGGGGATGGTTCCCCCCGTCCACCAAGCCAGCCCCCACCCACCCTGGAGCCAGGCCCCCACCCCACGGAGGCCTGGGGCCCCACACACACACACCCCGTGGGGGGGCTGCGGAGGGCACCAGAATAGCTAGGGACGGCCCTGACAGGAGCTATGTTTGAATATATAAATTGTTATATAATGCTAAGTATTCTGAAAAATCAGTTCCTAGTCATTTCAAATTGTGCATCCAAAAATCAGTGCATATTTTTGATCTTAATCTCTCTGCACTTCAGATTCCCATTTGTGAAATGGGGAGAATACCATCTCCTCACCATGAAGGGCGTTTGCCCCTTCTGTAAAATGGGAACAATAGCATTCCCTCATCTTCCAGGACTTTTGTGCAGACTCATTAATTGATGTTTGTGAAACTCTTGGATACTGTACTCTGGTGAGGAGCACCACAGAAAAGCCAATGAGTAAATTAATAATTTTTAATAGTAGCATTTGAATACTGTGCAGTAAATAAACCCTGGACACTGAAGACAAAACAAAATATTTAATAGGTGCTCAGTAACTGAGCACTGAATGAGGCAGCGGTTCTGTATAAAAAAATACTATGTGATTGTATAATTAAAGACTGTACCATGCATAGGCACAAGAAGTTAATGAGGCAACCCTGATTCTGGCATTTCCTAACTTTTAAAATGTGTGACTTTGCAACCTTAATAATTTTAATGTAGTTTTTTATGTGTAATTAATTAATAACCCCTAGACTGAAAACTAATAGCTATGTATATAAACAATACACCACCAAAATCAACTGTATTTGCTACCACAATTATTTTAATTTGAATACTTTATGGAGACCAATTTGGAGCAAATATATATCTGTATTAATAACTGGAAAGTAAGAGGGAATCCATTGTGATAACATGCAGATAAGTATGCTACATTCATTTGAGACCAAACATCCAAGTAATAAAAAGGGAGGAAAACTACACAGCAGGATGGACATTTCCAGCATTAATGCAGCATTTTCACCTGCTGTGCAGACGTGGAATCTGCATACATAAATTAACACTTGTTCTTATTTGTTTTCTCACCTTTTTATACAGCAGCAGCCTCTGTGAGCATCTTTATCTTGAACTAACATTAAGAAGCATCTATAGCTGCAAAGATCACTTCTGTTTCTACCCATGTGTTGAAAATGCGGTCACCATAAACAGTTCTGGGGGAGGAGGGAAGATGCAAAATATGAAAAAGCATGTCTATTTTTCAAACAAACATATCAAAAAAGAGTTCTGATTACAAATCATCCATCCCTTATGCCTACTGGACACTAATAATAATAATAAATAATTGTATTAATAAAGACATTCAAACACTGGCAATAAAGACTAAATCTCTCTTCTTTAAGGCTCGGTTAAATAAGAAATGGTTTCCATAGCTGCTGGCCCAGCAAAGCTCAGAGGGAGAGGCTCAAAGGCTTCATGTATATGGAGGTTAGCTCTCTATTTCTTATCTTCATGTTTTGTATCAATATGCATTCTTTTAAAGTTAGTAGGCTAAAAACAGTCCAGCATGGGAACTGGGATATGTTTATTTTCACTGTTTTTCCTGTCATATGGCTTAACTATTTACTGTGTAGATATTACTTATGAAAGAAAAACTTTATCAGATATCAAGATTGTCTCTTGATAGTAACCACAAATCAAGGGAGACAGTACTGAAAAAAATCACGATATAAAAATAACGAAGCAGGAGAGACAGAGGGAGTTATCAGTCACAGAGTCCATGTAGTGCTTTGTTTTGAGCCAGACAAGACAGGTGATTGAATAAAAGATGTACAGGCTACAGGGTGGATTCACTGCCCCAATCTATTCCCTTTTTGCCACTCAGGCAACACAAAGAGAGCTGAAATCATCCACTTTTTCCCCCAGCATGCAGGCTTCTTCAGGGAGTGTATGGCCAGGAAAGCCATCTCCTAGGTCACCCACACCCTATTCAACCCCATCACAAGGGGCATATAAGGGAAGGATAGAGACAGAACCTGTTGCGATCTGGCTATCTACAGCTGACACAGGTTTAACAGCCCCCAGGCTGTTCTAAACTATGCTGGGCTGGAGCTAAGCAGAGACTCAGGGAGCTGTAACTGGCTTTATGGCCTCCTCCCTGCCCCAATTTAGTTGAGTGGCTCTTGGCCACAGCAGAGAATCAGCCTGTGTGTTATAATAAAATATAATAATAGTGGGTGATTGAGAACAAGTTTGTGATGCCTTCCTATATAGATTTTACCCATCTGAACTGAAAATCATCCCATCAAGTTTCAGTCCTGCCCACCAGGTCATCCTTTCCATTATTTAGTATCACGTCCAACTCATATTACTTATTTCTCATACTCCTGATGTTTGTATGGAGACACTTTACTAATCTGATTTAAATGCTCATTATTCATCTCTCTCTGGAGTATACCTTTATTTTTACTGTAGAGTGCTGGGCATTTTAAACCAGACCATACTCTCATGGCTGCATAGTCAAGAGAACCCTCTGGGGTAGCTCAGAACCCTCTGGGGTAGCTCATGTACTGGAGATAGAGTTTCCAGATAGCAAGCATATGGAATGGAAATCTCTTCACATGGAAAAGTGCACTCTGAGATAGCTCACTACAGAGTTTTAGGAGGATGGAGGACAAGTATTACTGGTTACAGTACCGCAGAAAGGGGAACTCATCCGCACGGCAAAATAACTGTTTGCCTAACCTTGCACAGGCATGTACCAGTCTAGGCTGCTAGCAGGAGAAGTGCATGGTTATTTTAACTGCTTAAACTTTCTGTGGGATTATTGCAGGGTTCCTTTCTTAGCCCTGTTCCTCTTCTCCCCTTACCAGTGTTTCTCAAACTGGGGGCCCTGACCCAAAAGGGGATTGCAAGAGTAGTGTAGGGGGGAGGGTCACAGTATTGCCATCCTTACTTCTGTGCTGCCTTCAAAGCTCACTGGCTGGAGAGCAGAAGCTGCTTGCCAGGCACCCAGCTCTGAAGGCAGCACTGCCACCAGCAGCAACACAAAAGTAAGGGTGGCATGGTATGGGGGAGGGGTGTCATCACATCTGGGGAGGAGTCATCAAAGCATGAAATATTTTCAAAAGGAATCCCAGCCCCCCTCCCCCCCCCAAAAAAAAAAGCTGAGAACCCCTGCCTAACACTTTTCTCTTGGCAATTTCATTCACAAACATGACACTACCATCTCTGTGCTGATGTCTCACAGATCTACTTCTCCACTCCTGACCCGTCTCCTCTGTCCAAACTAAAAATCACGGCCTGTCTTTCTGACGTCTCCTTGTGGAGGTCCAGTCATCACTTAAACTCAACATGGCCCAAACAGAGCTTTTAATCTTCCACTTCAAGCCCCATCCTCCTCTCTCAGTCACGGTGGAATCATCTTCTCGGTCAGTCAGGCCTGTAACCTGGGCATTACCTTTGAGTTGGCCCTTTCTCTAAATCCTTACATCAAGTAGTATCTAAATATTTGCACTTCTTCCTGCGTAACATCTTTTAGATCTGCCCCTTCCTCTGAAGCCAAACAACTAGTTCAGTCTGTAGCACAATTCACACGCAATCCTCAAAGTCCACCTTGGGTGCAACTTCCATTCAAATCAAATGGGATTCCCACAAATGGAAGGCTTGTAGAACCAGGCCTTGGTGCTGCAGGGACTTACTCTAGAATATTTATATGTTGGACTTGAAATAGCTCTTCAAAATAAAACTTAAGCATCTTCAAATCCCTCTCTTGTCCCAAGAAACAGTGATACAATATTCTTGATTCTCCCTTCTGGCCTTGGAAGTGCAGGTTACTTATTGTAACTGGAGGTTCTTCAAGATGTGTGGTTCTATCTGTATTCTACATGTGGATATGCATGTGCGCCATGCACATGAATCTGGAAATTCTTCAAAGCAGTGTCCATTGGCCCACACATGCACAGTACAGCTCCTCGTGCTGCTATAATAAATAATAATAATAATATAATGGAGATATCCCATCTCCTAGAACTGGAAGGGACCTTAAAAGGTCATTGAGTCCAGCCTCCTGCCTTCACTAGCAGGATCAAGTACTGATTTTGCCCCAGATCCCCAAGTGGCCCCCTCAAGGTTTGAACTCACAACCCTGGGTTTAGCAGGCCAATGCTCAAACCACTGAGCTATCCCTCCCCCACCCCTGCTGACCAAGAGTATAAAAAGCAGTGTGGGTCTACACCTCTCCAGTTCCTTCTTATCGCAAATCCAATAGGATCTGAAGCAGAGGGGATGGAGGATGGATAGTGGAATACAGATAGGAGCTGCAAATCTCGAAGAACCTCCAGTTACAGTAACTTTCACTTCAAGTGATGGTCCCTATGGGTATTCCACACATGGGTGATTGGCAAACAGTGTTCAAACTGGAGGTGAGTGTGAGGAACTTGGTAGCAAAGATACTTGCACTACTGCTGATCCCACAACTCCATCTGCCACCAAGGCATGAACTAGAGTGTAGTATGTCACAAACATGTGGACAGAACTCCAGTTGGCTGCCCTGCAGATGTCCTGCATTGGTATGTCAGATAGGGATGCCATGGAGGCAGCTTGTACTCACGTGGAGTGCGCTGTGACATCCCCAAGGGGGGGGGGAATTTTTGCTCTCTTTTAGCACTCTGAGGCCTTGTCTACACTACGGGGGAGATGGATCTAAGTTATGCAACTTCAGCTACATGAATAACGTAACTGAAGTCGACGTACTTAGATCTACTTACTGCGGAGTCCACACTACGCTATGTCATCAGGAGATGCTCTCCTGTTGACTCCCATTGCACTTCTCGTTCAGCTGGAGTACAGGAGTTGAAGGGAGAGCGATCTGTGGTCCATTTAGCGGGTCTTCACTAGACCCGCTGAATCGACCACTGATGCATCCATCACTACACGCCGTTCCCCCGGTAAGTGTAGACAAGCCCTAAGATGCATCCCAAAACCCACATATCTACTCTGGGAGGATATAGCTTGCTTGTGTGCAGTGCCGGCTCCAGGCACTAGCGAAGGAAGCAGGTGCTTGGGGCAGCCAATAGAAAGGGACGGCAGTCCGTCCATTGTTGGGGCAGCACATCAGGGTCTCCGGCGGCAATTCGACGGAGGGTCCTTCACTCCCTCGCTTCCTCTTTGGTGGCACTTCGGCAGCAGCTCAATCGCTCCACTTCAGTCTTCGGCGGCAATTCAGCGGCGGCTCAATTGGGTTGTTGTTTTTTTCGCCGCTTGGGGCAGCAAAAAAGCTGGAGCTGGCCCTGCTCATGTGATCTCTCTGCTATGGTGATCAAGAGTCTCTGATTGCCTAGTGGGTTTGGTTCTCTGAAAGTAGAATGCCAAGTAGTGAAGTCTCTTGTCTTCAGAGGAAGCATGGGGTTTCATGAAAAATGCAGTTAAGTGTATCATTTAATTGACATGGAACTCAGAAATAATCTCGGGAAGAAACCTGGGGTATAGTCAAAGAGAAACCTTTTCTTTGTGAAACACTGTATAAGAAGCATCTTCCATGAAGGTTCCAAGCTTGCTGACCCTCCTGGGTGAAGTGATAAGAATGCCACCTTCATGGACAGGTGGGTTATGGCACATGTTGCCATGGGTTCGAAAGGTGGACTTGTGAGCACTGACAGGATATTGGTTTAAGCAATGGTGGGAAGGTCCTGATGAGGCCTTTCATAAGTCGTACAGTGGGTGGGTGAGTAAAGATGGAATGTCCTTCTACCAGAGGAAGGAAGGCACTAACCGCTGCTAGATGTACTCACAGCAAACTAATAGCGAGACCATCACAGACAGGAGATGGTTTCGGATGACCAGGATGATTATGTTATCTGGAGAATGTTGATAGAGTTATACCCAGGCCAAAAAGCATCTCCATTTGGACAGATAGCAGCTTCTAGTAAAATTCTTACTCCTTTGGTTAAGGATTGCCTGAACAGGGGCCCGAACGTGAGCTTTCTATTTCTGATGCCCTTCCAAATACCAGGCTGTGAGGTGGAGTGACCCTGGATTGGGGAGCTTCATTTCTCCCCTGGCCCGGGTTAGGAGACCCGGGAATGGGTGGATCGTGATAGGTGGGTGGGTAGGCAGGCATCATGAGAAGTGCCATGAACCAGAACTTTCTGGGCCAGTAGGATGTTAGGAGAATGATGCTGGCTCTGTCACATCATCCCCTCCTATGACCTGT